ATGTGGAAATTCATATCTTTTTGTGAGTGCATATTTTGGACTTGAGGGATGAATATGAATTGTAGTAAATTGCATCCTCTTAAAAATGAGCCTTGTATGGAAAATTTATGATAAAGTGTGAGGAAGTTATGCTTGGTCAAAGTTTGGTTGACTTTTCCTGAGAAACCCTAACTTAGTAACTTTTGGGTTTTGAGGAATTTGAGGCATTCCTTAAGGAATCATGATCAACACTTGATAAAATGATGTATATAACTTCAAAATGTTGATGTTGACCAAAAATCTTGAAGTTTGACTGTATGTGGGCCACAGTTGACTTTTGACCTAATACAGTCGATTCTCAAGCATCTGAGTAGTTGACTGAGCAAACTTCTTGTGCAAGGCTTGAAATTTGACATGGAGGGTCTTGAGAACATATTAGGATCATGGAAAGCATATGAAGTCTTTGGAGTCCCCCCATCTTGATGTAAATGGAAACCCTAGTTTAAGATACATTGCCTTAGGAAAGAGTTTGTCTGGTCAACTCTTGGGCAACCTTGAGCAAATTGAGGACCTCTAGGAGTATGTTTTGAGTAACATGAGAGTTCAAATTTTGGGGTACAACAAATGGTCATATTAAATTTCCTCTTTTCCATCATGGCATCCCACTTTACTTGAATTTGAATTATCTCATCTCTATAACTCAATATTGTTTTCATTATCCACGACCTATTCTACTTAACAGTAATTTCCATCACATTCTATTTTCTGAAATAATATGCATGCACCCACCGCATTCATAAACTATCGGCTTTTTTGCAGATGTTCCAAAGCAATTTAAGCATCGTAATTGTATTCCAAATTTCAAGATTTATGACATTCATACCTCCATACTTGACAGGCTTGCAAACATTAACAACGGCAAACATTGCAACCAATAATTTACAATTGCAAAGGTAATGCTTTTTAGAAGTTGGATCACCATTTATATTTGTTATACGAAAAATAAGATATAAAAGTATTTCCTATTTTCTAATAAAAAAACATCCAAATTTGTTGAGTGATCATTGTTGTTTGATAAATTTAGTAAATTTTGGTGAGAAAAAGTAAATATGTGCATTATCAGGATGATATTTGAGATTAATTGTTAATTTTCAAAATTATATAAAATTTTATGTATATTTAAATCTTTAAAAACACAATTCAAGTTTGAGGAATGAAATTCGTGGTATACCTGACTCATTACAAAGACATGAGAATCACTTGTGCTTGCCAAAAGAGCTTGAATTGATATTTTACCTCTGAAGAAAAGTTACAAAGGACATTATTCTTGACATTTGGTTCAAAGAAACTCCCATAAGTATTGAAAATTGAAGACATTATGGTGTTTAGACCAAAGGGTATGCCACACTTTTATTTTAGGTCAAACCACCATGTTCCAACTTGTCATTTTTTATGTTTTCTTGCATTCCAAGGCACAAGGATGATCATATGAACTCAAAATTGTGTGCCTTTAAATGACCCTTGATTAATCTTGATGAAACCTTGATAAAAATGATGAAGAAGACATGGAAATAAACACATGAATCTATCTTGAGTTAACTTGCAAATCAAGCATCAAACTTGAACTTCTTTTGGTCAATTGGTGTTAAATGAAGCTTGACATGAATGTGACCTAATATTATATGTCATGCCTTGAATAATAAGTCTTGTTGACCACTTGTTGACCTTGACTTAGGGGATCAAAACCCTGAATTTGAAAACCATCTTGATCTCTTGATGAAAAAGCCCTACCTTGTAAAATAAGAAAAGAAAAGAAAGCATATTTTTGTATTTTGAATAGAGTTAGTAAAGCATAAAAATAAGTAAACACGAGGATAAAAGAAAATACAAATGGTGTTTGGTGATCTCCCACACAACAAACCCAAAGACCAATGGGTTAGGAGGTTACCAAGTTTATGATTTTGATGAAATGAAATAATATGATAGGTGGAATCTTAGGGGTAAAAATTAGAGTATGCCACAAAATACATTAATTTTTCAAATAGAAACTTTCTCCTATCTTTATATCTCTCGTTCTTTTAAGAAGTTCATTTTCACTAGAGTTACTACATTAGTGTCAAGAGAGTGAAATGTCTCATCTAAGAGTTGTGTTGTATTGGTATTATGCTGAAATTGTTTATTCAAGAACATAGTTCTTTTGTGATCTGTTTGTGATAGATTTGAAGGTTGTAAGCTAAATCTATAAAAAAAAACTTGGTTGAAGATTGTCGAGTTGAACCTATGTAAAGCTTTGGGTTATTTGTTTAAAGTTGTTTGGGTTGATCCTATGTAAAGTTCAAGTTCGCTTGTATAAGGTTGTTGGGTTGATCCTGTGCAAAAGCTCAAGTTGTTTTGTAAGGTTGTTTGAGATAATCATGTGCAAAAACTCAAAAATGTTTTAGTGAAAATTTTCAAGGAAAACTCTTGAGGGCTGAATTAGGTCAAGTGGTTTATGACAAACCATGATCGTTCTTGTTTGAAAAATCTAGTAAGTTTTGTTAAGAAAAATTGAACATGTGCAGTAACTTGATCACATAATGAAATTAATTATTAATTTACAAAACTATATAAAATTTAATTAGTGGAAATGTATATTTAAAATTTTGTAAACTTAGTTCAAGTTTGAGAACTTAAATTTATAGTATACATTACTCATTCCAAACACATCGGAATCACCTATGCTTGTGCTTGCAGAATCGCCACCTTCCCAACCATACTTTAAATAAAAGTGCATCCAACTGATTGTAAGTTGTAACAATGATGTGAAATCAAATAGGTGCATTGCATGCATATACTACATTTTATAACACACCTTGATTTGCAAGACTTCTAATATCATTCACAAATCTTACCTCCCTTACCACTAATCATACAATCATGACGCACCACCTTCATGACATGCAAAAGATACACCTTTCTGAACTAAAATTGCACCTAATAAACCAATCATTAACTTTCACCTCCTAAACTATAAAAGGAAACTCTTTCTTACTCTTCCTTCCCACCACCATCAATCAACAATATAAGCACTAGTGTCTTGTAACAATTTCAAAACAACACGTCAAGAAAGACTAAAAATGAATAACATCATGCAACAATCTCTCATTTCAACCTCATTCTTTCTTCTAGCAATCACTTTCTACACCACCGCCTCTTTAGCCCAACTCTCACCGATTCAACCTCCTACAACAACATCATCACCACCATTACCATCAATCACAGCATCACCACCATTACAAGCAACAACAGCAACTGCACCATCTCCAGGACTAAACACAGTTCCACTTGTACCAACAACACCAACTGGTGCACCATCACCCCTCATCCCAAAAGGACCCACCATTGACATAATCAGCATCCTCCAAAAAGCAAAGAGATTTTCCGTCCTAATCCGTCTTCTCAAAACAACACAATTAATCAACCAACTCAACTCACAGCTTGTATCATCATCAGGTTCAGGTGGTTTAACAATTTTCGCACCAGAAGACAGTGATTTCTCCAAACTCAAAGCTGGATTCTTAAACTCTCTATCTGATAGACAAAAAGTTGAACTCTTACAGTTTCACACTCTTGCTTCATTCATTTCAATCTCAAACTTTGATACCTTAACCAACCCTGTTCAAACACAAGCTGGTGATGATGCTAGACTTCAACTTAACGTCACTACTTACGGTGGAAACCAAGTTAGTATGGCTACCGGCGCAGTTAATGCTTCTGTGACCGGTACGGTTTATACTGATAGCAAACTTGCTATTTATCAGGTTGATAAGGTTCTTCTTCCTCTTGATCTTGTTCTTCCAGCTAAGGCTCCAGCGTTAGCCCCTGCGCCTGGTAAGGGTTTGCCTAAGGCGGGAAAAACTAATTCTTCTGTTGTAGATGATGGTAGTAGTGCTGGTAGCGATGATAGTGATGGAAAGGTTTTGCCGGCAGAAGCTTCTAAGGCAGGGGCTGTGGTGATGTGGGTGAATTTTGTTGTTTTCGGAATGGTTTTGGTTGGTGGAGTTGTTCTATAAGGTGGATTTGGAATTATTGTTTTTGTTGTAATTTTTTTTATGCTTTGTTTTGTGAGTGATTCTATTTTCATTTGAGGTTATTTTACTATTTTTTTATTATTCTTCATCTATGTTGTTTTGTTTTTGTAACTTGTAATTAGTGTTTCTTACATGGACTCTTGAAATTCCATTTATACATGAGGGACTTAGGTTCTGTAAATTATTTTTTCCACTCTGTAATGATATTATACTGCTCAAAACCCAATTTTCTTTGCTCATTTCCTTGTGCCGGGTCACATAGTAGTAAGGTCCAACTTTGTAGGCAATTTGGGATGTCTTTAATCTCACACTTAGTAATATGAACAAGGCATCTTTACTTTATTAAATGTAAAAGATAAATTACAAGTGATACTGATACTTATAGATGAAGGAGGGTACATACGCTACATTGTAACTATAGGATCAAAGCCTACAACTAACTTCTAACTAATAGTTAATTAACTAAATATCTATATATGGAAAGCTTGCATAACAAGTTATAAGAAAATCCCTCTTAATTAGCCTTAATAACTTAGTCTAATAGTCTTTACGACTTGATCGTCTTTTTCCTCCTTTTTAGGAAGTCTGTTACCGTTTTCTTTTTTGTATATCTTATGCTATAAATACTGTATAGCTCTATTGGTATTGAATAAGAAAGATGAATAATATTCAATGGTTTGTGACTTCCAATATGGTACCATGTGTGGCTTTCTCCTTCCTCCTTTCACCGCTTTACAAATTCTTATCTTCTCCCAACACGTCTCTTCTTTTATTTGCTTCTTTCCAAAAATTGACAGATTCTCTTTCTCCATCCGATACACAACATCCTTTTCCCTTCGCTTATTTGCAGATTTCGTTTTTCTTTCTTCTTGAATTCTCTCTTCCTATTCAAGAACTTACTTCTCTTTCCCTGAAACCCTAATTTTCCTTCCCCACATCTCCTCTATTTTCATGGCCGCCGCCGTTCCCTTTTCCGATTTCGCCACCAATCCCTCCAACCCCTACTATCTCCACCCTAACGAAAATCCCTCCCTTGTCCTCGTCATTCCCCTTCTTGATCATAACAACTACAACTCATGGTTAAGAGCCATGAAAGTTTCCCTTATCTCCAAAAATAAACTTCGCTTCATTGATGGCACCTTTGCTCAACCCACCGCCGACACCACTCTTTTCGATCCCTGACTTCGATGCAACAACATGGTCCTTTCTTGGCTGCAAAAATCGGTTTCTGAAACCATTGCTCAATCTATTCTGTGGATCGATAATGCATCTGTTATTTGGAAGAATTTGGAGACACGATTTTCTCAAGGTGATATATTCAAAATCTCAGATCTTTAAGACGATCTCACCAACCTGCATCAAGGTACTCTCGACGTTTCCACCTATTTTACCAAACTTACATCTCTTTGGGAACAAATTGACGCGTTTCGACCAACTCAGGATTGTACTTGTGCTATTCCATGTACCTGTGGCTCTGCCTCGGATCTCCGTCGTTACAAAGATCAAGATCGTGTTATCAAGTTTCTTAATGGCCTCACTGATCAATTCTCCACGGTTCGCTCTCAGATTCTTCTGTTGGATCCTCTCCCCTCACTTGACAAAGCTTTCTCCATGGTTCTTGGCCAGAAAAGACGTTCCACCAATATCCCTGCTGAATCACCAGACCTACCTTTATTAGCTATGCAGTTTCAACCTTCCAATAACTATGGCGGAGCTCGCAGAAATGGTTCTTCTTCTCGAGGTCGTGGCCGCTCCTTTTCGGGTCATGGTGCTTCTTCACAATGCATCTGCACTCATTGTGGTCGTAACAATCACACTATTGATACCTGCTTCATGAAACACGACTACCCTCCCGGTTATCAATACAAAAGCCACAAGTCTTCCGTCAACAATGTTATGGCTTCTCCTTCACTCAAAGCTCCACTTGATTCTGCTTCTGATCCTTCGCCTTCTCTTGCTATCATTCAGAGTCAATACAACCAGATACTTCAAATGCTTCAACACCAGCACTCCTCTGCTTCCGCTCTTACTACCTCCGATGCCACTCCTCTACCCAACATCAACTATGTTTATCCTCTTCTCGATGGTAAGCCACATGTATATTGGGTAATTGATACAGGTTTTACTCATCACATCACTCCGAATCACTCCGAATTTACGCAATTTTCACTTTCATTGTTATGTTCCCCCATCCACATGAAACTCCCTGATGGCACCACTGTTAAATCTGACATTGGTGGAACAGTTCATCCATCTAATTCCTTAATTCTATCTAATGTTTATTATATACCTATTTTTCATGTTAATTTAATTTATGCTACAAAATTTATCGATTCTTCTAGTTGTACCCTTACTTTTACTAACAAAGACTGTCTTATTATGCAGAAAAACTCTACGAGAATGATTGGTTTAGCTTAACGATACAAAGATCTTTATGTGCTTAAAGCCCAGGCCATCCCATCTCCCTCCTCATTTACTTTTAATTTTGTACATCATTCTAACTTTGATTTATGGCATAGAAGATTAAGTCATCATTCTTCTAATGTTCATAAAATCTTAGTTTCTCAATGTCCCATTGTTACTTACACATTAAATAAAAAAGTTTCCTTGTCATCTTTGCCATATTTCTAAACAAAAACGCATACCTAATCCCCATAGTATTACTCAATCTATTAAACCTTTTGATCTTCTTCATGCTGACATTTGGGGTCCTTATGTTACCCCTTCCATATGTAATCAACGATATTTTCTAACTCTTGTTGATAATTTCTCTAGGTTTACTTGGGTTATTTTTATGACCCATAAAAGTGAAACAAGGTCTCATTTGATGCATTTTATCGCCTTTATTCACACACGGTTTTCTACTATTTTAAAATGTTTACGTACTGACAACGACCCTGAATTTTGGATGACTGGTTTTTACAAATCCAAAGGGATCTTACACCAAAAGTTTTATGTTGAATATCCTCAACAAAATGACATTGTTGAATGCAAACATCAACATATCCTTAATGTGGCAAGATCTATTTTATTTCAATCTCATAGTCCTCAATTTATGGCATTTATCTATTGCTCATGCTATACATCTCATTAATCGACTCCCTTTCCCTATTATTAATCATAAAACTCCTTATTCTTTTTTATATAACAAATTGCCTGACTATAATAATTTGAAATGCTTTGGCTGCCTTGTGTATGCCTCCACTCTTTCTCATAATCGTAACAAATTTTCTCCTAGGTCTCGCAATTGTGTGTTTTTAGGTTATAAAGAGGGAACCAAAGGCTATCTCTTGTATGATTTAACCACTAACTGTCTTTTTGTTTCAACCTTTCATGAAAACTCGTTTCCCTTTAAAAACCCTCATGATCACCTTAATATCCCTCCCATATCCATCATACCCTTATATACCTTGAACCTTTCAATCCACCTTCTCCTCCTCCTGAACCTAACCCTCATCCTACCCCTCTTCCCTTTTCACCACCCACTCCTCTTCCATCTCCTCAAAACCATTCAGCCAATAACCTTCCACCCCTTCAAAAATACATTAGACAAACCAAAAAATCTCATTACTTGACTCATTACTATTGCAATATTACTGATACAGACACCTCTATTCCCACTTCTCTCAAACCCAAATCCCCCTTTTCCTCTGTCCTCACCTACACCACTTGCAACACAAAACACAAACAATTATGCCTCTCTGTTTCCTCCACCTCCGAACCCATCACTTACAACCAAACTTCTCAGGATCCTAATTGGCTGCAAGCCATGAAAACTGAATTACAATCCCTTGAGCACACCAACACTTGAACCATCGTTGACCTACCCCCTCATAAAACATCTATCAGTTGTAAGTGGGTTTATAAAATTAAATATCTTGCTGATGACTCTATTGATAGGTACAAATTTCGTCTGGTCGCAAAAGGTTACACTCAACAAGAGGGTGTTGACTATTTTGACACATACTCTCCTGTAGTCAAACTAACTACTGTTTGGACTCTCTTTTCCCTCGCCTCCATCCAAAATTGACATCTCAATTGGATGTCAATAATGCTTACCTTCACGGGGATCTTCAAGATGAAGTTTATATGACCATTCCCAAAGGTTATACTTTTCCTCACCCATCTCATAACACTAAGGTTTGTAAACTCAATAAAAGTATTTATGGCCTCAAGCAGGCTAGTCGCCAATGGTATTCTAAATCATCTAGAACATTAACTTCTCTCGGTTTTCATCACTCCATTGCTGATTATTCCCTTTTCACTAAATTATCTCCTAATAATCTTTTTATTGCTTTGTTAGTCTATGTCGATGATATTGTTTTAACAAGTAACGACATCACCAAAATTTCTAGTGTAAAGGCCCTTCTTCACTCCAAGTTTCGTATTAAGGACTTAGGCTCTTTACGTTACTTCCTTGGAGTGGAAGTGGCTCGCTCTACATCAGGTATCTTACTCAATCAACATAATTACACTCTAGACTTACTCAACAAAACAAGTATGATTGCCTCCAAACCTTCCCCCACTCTATACAATTCCTCTATCAAACTTAACTGTACTGAATCACCTCTATTTCATGATATAACTCAATATAGACGGTTAATTGGTCAATTACTATATTTAACCGCAACACGTTCTGACATTTCCTTTGCTGTCCAACAACTTAGTCAGTTCGTTTCACAACCTACTGCCAATCATTTCAAGCCTGCTTTGTGCATCCTTCAATATTTAAAACTGAACCCTGCTCAGGGTCGATTTTATTCATCCAATTCTGACTTGGCTCTTTCTGGTTTTGCAGATAGTGACTGGGCAACATGCCCAACAACACGCAGATCTACAACTGAGTTCGCATTCTTTCTGGGCAAATCTCTCATTTCCTAGAAATCAAAGAAACAGACGACTGTCTCCCATTCCAGCTCTGAAGTTGAATACAGAGCGCTTGCTCCATAAACTTGCGAGATCCAATGGTTACATTATCTTTTCAACAATCTTTACATCAAGTTCACATCCCCAACATCCCTCTAATGCAAACAGATCAGCAGTCTACCTTGCCCACAATCCAGCTTTACATGAAAGATCAAAACACATAAAGATCGATTGCCACATCGTTCACGAAAAATTGGAATCTGGCCTCATCAAACTGTTTCCAATTCCCTCCACTACACAACTTGCTGATTTCTTCACTAAGCCCCTTGCTGATCCTGCTTCTTCCATATTTACTATCAAGCTTGGCCTTATGTCTGTACATCGTTCAGATTATGGGTTAGTATTAGAAAACCCCTCTTAATTAGCCTTAATAACTTAGTCTAATAGTCTTTATGACCTGGTCCTCTGTTTCCTCCTTTTTAGGAAATATGTTAATGTTTTCTTTTTTGTATCTTCTACTATAAATATTGTATAGCTCTATTGGTATTAAATAAGAAAGATGAATAATATTCAATGGTTTATGAGTTTCAATATAAAGAACTAACTTATATCTATTTCACTATGTGTTATCCCCCACATGTTGGAGGATAAATGTTATTCATCTCCGACTTGGATAAAAGAAGGTGAAATCGTTGAGGAAGAAGCAGTTTAGTGATGAAATTAACAATCTGGTCTTTGGAAGATACAAATATCAATTTGAGTAAAGTAACTTGAAGCATCCCTTGAACAAGATGTAATCGATTTCCAAATACCTGTTACATTCATGGAACACGAGATTGACTACAATATGGATGAAAGTGAGGATATCTCAATAGAGAACATACCATTTTTGTAGTGTTATATTTGGTAAAGACCCCAAACGAAGGCGCCCTCACCCAACAATTGGGCCTCTCGAGAGGGGATCCAAGAGAGTCGCCTAAAGAGCTTCCTCCAGCATGGGAGACAAGCTGGAAAGAGTCCCCGATGACCCCGTGAAGATGAATGGTCAATAACCTCCCCTAATAAGAGGGGAGCAATTGAGGTAGATTGTGAACAAAGGGCCTGATACTCAACAGAGAACTCTTTGGAAAAGGGGAGGTGCAAGCCTTTGAAGAGAAGGAGGTCAAAGTTGACATCATTCCACCAGGGTATAAGATTCTTACCCCCAACAAGTTCCATCGCCTGACCAACAATAGAAGGGTTCTCATCCCCCAAGTGTTGAGCTTTAGTCTCTGACAACTATGAGGTCGAGGTCTCAGTTGCCCTTTTCCCCCAAGATGGTAACCCCCCAGGTTGACTCATTGGACTATTGACGCCCAGCTAGAAGACTTGATTCTTTCCCATCTCTCTCTGTGCTCATGGGCGGATGTTTTCGCCATTTAGTCCGCTTAAACAAAAAATGAGTCAGAAAATGATATAAGGTCCCACAAGCAAAAAGAAAAAAAATCAGCCTACCTATATAGGCAGCAAGGTTCCCATCACCCTCTTTCCATAACTTAATCACTTCTCAGTAGTCCATAACCTTGAACTTTCATAGAAAGCGAACAATCCTTATCTCCTCAAGGGATTAGAATGCCCAGTCATAGTCTCTCTCTCTCTCTCTCTATATATATATATATATATATATATATATATATATATATATATATATATATATATATATATATATATATATATATATATATATATATATATATATATCACCGAGTCCTCTGTCCAAGATAATAGAAAGAGAGAAACACCGTCACTATCCAGCATTCCAAGGGAAACCTCTCAACCTCTCACCCTAACAAACTTATCTTTCTAATATTTATAATTATTAAAGTGGGAGGTAAAAAGACCCAGGGCCTGTCGGTTGGTCAGGGTCACCACACTAGCTTTCGCCAGTGTGGTTACAAAAAAAGAGAAGAAGATCCTAATAGTTGGGTTTATGTCAAGCTTCTCGCAAACCATCTAAAACCCCTAATGTAGCCTCAACTGTTCGGGAATAGTTAAGAAGGGGTGATATTAAGCCTCATGAGGATCTCTGTAGAAAAGGAAGAAAGTGGAAAAAAGACTTATATATCCTTGATAAAGGGAGGGTAAAAGTATAAATAAGGTGATGGGGGATGGGAAGAGACCTACAAGGTTACCTTCTATGGGGGAAAACAACTTTCCAAGATAACCCGATCCTCATCCCCCGAGGAGGAGACACCCACTCCCGCCAAAAAGATGCAGATATTTTCCTTACAAGTAAAAATGGAGACGAAGTCACCCGCGCCCTTGGGAACGACGGAGGAGAAAGACATGTTATTCCCGAGAAAACAATAGAACATAAAAAAAGTCACCACCACTGCCGCAACCATCAAAAAGGAACTAACTACCAATAAATCTTATACCTAGTACCAAAGATTCTCTATTACAAAACCTTTTAAGATATGGCATCCGAAACTTGAGAAAAGTAAAAAATATCATGCTTGTAAGAAGGATTTATGGGAGGGTATAGGATTTAAGGGTAGTTAGATCCTTTCTGACTGCTCTGAAAAATCCAAAAGAGATGGCTAAGGAAAGTTTGTAGAAAGTAAAATGGAATGGGAAGAGGAAAATATTTCTTATAGGAGAACTCTAAACCCCCTCGGGATTTTGTGAAACTCTACACATTACTTACATGTGCCACTATCATTTTCAATTTCAAAAATTCATCTTTCCTTCATTGCATTAAATAAGGGGGAACATGTCTGCGTTGTGATTGGATGATGTCTCAGATGGCTTACCATATCTAAGCAAGGGACACCTAAGAACTGACTCATTAGGCAGATCTTATAACTAAAGACTCTTCCTACCATTGCATACGCCTTCGGGTGAGGGACTCACCTACTATTTCACTAGCCCTTCACTAAGGGACTCGCCTATGGGAAAAGCACCACCCAGCAAAACCATTCTCAGTCGTAGGGATCGTCGACTGGGTAAGAGGCACATGTAAAGAAGAAAGATGTTTTAAGCACTTTGCCCTTTAAGGAAAATTCCTTGTGCTTTAGGGACTATGTGTTGTTTTATATTTAGTAAAGACCCAAACCAAGGGCCCTCGCTCAACAACTGGTCCTCCCGGGAGGGGATCCAAGAGAGTCGCCCAAAGAACTTCTTTCAACGTGGAAGACAAGATGGTAATGGTCCCCGATGATCCCATGAAGATAGGCGGTCAATAACCTCTCGTAATCAGAGGGGAGTAGTTAAGACCACATCCAAAAAGGTAAATCCCCAAGCCTCGGGAAAATCCTATAAATACACGATCACCCAAGGGGATAAGGGACTCCCAAGTCATACATCTCAAAATATCACCCACTACCACTCAGAGAGCACTCCGCTCCTAGTAGCCCTAACACCATCAATCAAATTGCCCGCAAGCAACCTAGCAGCGCCGACCGCCAACAAGGCATGTTACCTCACGTGAGTTGGTCTCTTAAACAACCTAAAAAACTATTGTATGGAGCTGCTCGTCGTCGTGAGCTAGCTCTTACCTCAAAACATGTAATATACCTAGTAGGGCATCTGATTCTTCCTGCTCTTGCAAGGGACCATGCACTCACCTATACTTTTTGGACAATACATTTTTGTTGATGGAATCTTAATGTCTTATAGGAGATACATGAGCCATTGTAGCTCACATGTTGTTACAACCAAAACACGATACTCAACTTCTAATGAAGATCTGGAGATAGTTAATTGTTTCTTATTATGTCATTGTTGTACCCCAAAATTTTCCCTCCCATATTTCTCAATACATGTCAAGTGAGGTCCTCAAATTGCTCAAGGAGGTCTAAGAGTTGACTAGACAAACTCTCTCCTAAGGCAGTCTACCTCAAATTAGGGTTTCATTTTGCATCAAGATGCTTGAGTCCAAAGGATCCCAAATTCTCACCATAGTCCTAATATGTTCTCAAGATTATCCATGTCAAGTTTCAAGCCTTGCAGAGGAAGTTTGCTCAGTCAATTGCTCAAATACCTAGAAATCGGCTGTGCTAGGTCAAAAGTCAATTATGGCCCACTGTTGGCTCCTAAATTCGACACCCTTGTTTTTATTAATATCAGCCATTAAAGCTGAAGGATGTTTTCGACCAGCTGGGTCTGTCGAAATGCCCATCAGAAGATGGCAATGTACTTAGAGGATTTCTTCCAAGGGAGAATTTGGTTGCCTTCGACGTCGAAGGTGTGGCTCGTCGAAGATGCCTCTCGACGAAGGTGTTCGATTGCTCAGAGTGGGATGGTTTGAAATTCAAACGTTTGGAGGGAAAACGGTTCCCAGCGGTTACCAAGTGCAACGTGCGAAGATCTGGAGCGTCGAACGCTGAGAACGTGCCAAGTGGAGTCATCTCGAAGCAGTGTAACTGCCCGACGGTTACTTAGGATGTTTAGTATAAATATTAGTAGTTCACGCAGTTTTTCGCGTGTGTTCACAATTATATACAAGTCACTCATATAGATTCGAGTACCCAGCGTGTGAGAAAGAATTGTTGAGAATGTATGTGTGAAACACCACTTTTATTAATCAAAGTCACTTATTTTCCAGAAACTTTACTTGCTTTCCCCTTTACTTTTCCTGTCGAAGCCTTTATTTCAAGCCTTCCTTTATTTTATCAAGTTCTTTTCTTCATGCAATTTACATAAAGCTTCTTTATTTCCTTGTCATTTAACCATTATCAAACTTAATCAAAACCCCAAAATCAACCATGTCTTAGGATCAATCTGATCGATCCTGCGAGTCACCAAATAAGTAACCATTTGGAAGATCAGTGGTTGTTTACCAATAACCACGGTAAACAAATTGGCACACCCGGTGGGACTGTGTGTTGATTTTGAAGGTTAATCTTTTTACACAAAATATCATCTTTTTCGAGGAGTATTGTATGTTATTGAGAAGTGGTAGAATATACACTAACAATACCAATACTGCCAGAAGAAGAGAAGAGATGGCGAATCCGCCAAACAATAACGAAATCCCATAAACGAATGTGGGAACAACGGTTATCCCAACCGTAAGTGAAGCGATAACCGCTGGTTCAACACCAGCAGTAACAGTCACAACGACGGGGCCATTACCTCCGTTCACAGGCCCCAGAGTGCCTTTGGGAACTCCCCCACCAAGGGGAAATCTAGGCACAAGGCCTTATGTTCCCCCAGGATTTATGACAGGCGGTTATAATCGAGAACCACTCTATGGCATGCCAACGTCTGATTTGGCTAGCCTAACAAACGCAGCGTCCACTTTTTCAGACCCTTTAGTGAGTGCCTCTTCGCCACTCCAAGGTTCTGGAGTAGGTATGGCGAACAGAAATAGGACCCAACTCTTAGGAGGAACGTCCCAAGTAGCACATGGCCTTACAAATGCCTCGACATCAGTCTTGAGGCAACAAATGGACGAAAGCAACCATGATATGGTTCAAATGTTGGCACAAACTTTAAGTGCGGTGCTGAATCCTCTGATACAAAATACCACCCAATCGAATCAGCAGATGACAGCGCAAATGACGCGTTTGGCTGATTTCTTTGGAGTACCTCAACCTATTCGACAGCCCCAAAGGGCGCCAATAAGGGGAAACCAAGGTATACTCTTAGAGGAAGAAACCACTATCAACCAAGGCCAGCAGCCTGTCGAAGAAAACCTTAGGGCACGATTGGAACAGCCTGTCGAAGAACCTAGGGTTATAACCCCAGAGGTAAGGTTAGTTAACAGAAACCAAAATGCTGACGAAGTGGTTCAGCATATCCAATACCAAAACACGGGTTTGGAAAATAATCTGGCAGGCATGATCGAAAGAATCATGACTCAAAATGGGATGAATATGGGCTTTCGTAGGCCCAACTTCACATCCCCACTGTCAGAATACGTGTTACAAACAGACTTACCTCCTAGATGTAAAGTCCCTAAGTTCACTAAATTCTCTGGGGACACGACAGAATCTACTGTCGAACATGTGGCGAGATACTTGATCGAAGCAGGAGATATTTCAAACAACGAAAACCTGAGGATTAAGTACTTCCCAAGTTCTTTAACAAAGAACGCTTTTACTTGGTTTACAACTCTCCCCCCCAATTCGATCCATCATTGGACCCAGTTGGAGAGATTGTTCCATGAGCAATTCTACATGGGACAAACCAAGATAAGCCTGAAAGAATTGGCCAGTGTAAAGAGACGTTTCACT